CGGAAAAGTTCAGACTCAAACTGACGTTCGCGGTCTGTAGTGATGGTTGAAGGGCAACCGAAGTTTGCTACCCATCGTTCGACGAAGGTTCGGGCCACTGTTTCAGCAGTGATGTCCTTGATAGGTACTGCTTCTGGCCATCGAGTGAAACGGTCTACACAGGTCAAGAGGTAAGAGTATCCATTTGAATCTGGTAAAGGTCCTACCAAATCCAGATGAACATGGTCGAAACGAGCATCGGGAGTTTTAAATGAGCCTAAGGGACATTTATTGTGTCTGATGACCTTAGATTTTTGGCAGCTTACACAGGAGCGTGCCCACTCCCTCACGTCTTTATTCATACCAGGCCAGCAAAAGTGTTCTGCTATGAGCTTGATGGTTGCACGAACACCTGGATGAGAAAGTTTGTGCAATGTGTTGAAGACATTGCGTCGATAATGTTTCGGGACGATTGGGCGATCTCTACCTGTAGATGTGTCACAAAGTAATGTTTCCTTACCTGTTCCCATCTGTTTGATGCGTAGTTTAAGGGTTGTGGACGATAACTCGTGCTGAAGATTAGTGTCTTCTTTTTGAAGCTGGGCGAGTTTAAGAAGGTCGATTCCTTGGAAACTGTTCAAGGAATTTATTCGAGACAAGGCGTCTGCAACTACATTGTTTGCTCCAGAAATATGTTGAATATCTGAAGTAAACTGCGAAATGTAGTCCAGTTGTCGAGACTCACGGGGAGAGTACTTGTCAGAAGGAGAGCTTAACGAGAAAATGAGCGGTTTATGGTCGGTGAATAGAGTGAATTCACGGCCTTCGATATAGTGTTGAAAATGCCGTACAGCACAATACATAGCTAGGAGTTCCCTACCGAATGTGCTGTATCTCGATTCGGTGTCTAGCAACCGTCTAGAAAAAAATGCCAAGGGTTGCCAGGAGTTGTTAATCCATTGTTGTAAGACTCCTCCGATTGCCGAGTCGGATGCGTCTACTGCGATACTAATGGGTGCTTCAGTGTCCTGATGTGCGAGCATTGTTGCTTTAGCGATCAGTTCCTTAACTGTGGAGAATGCTTTTCGTGCGGTGTCGTCCAAATTAATGGATTTCGCATTTCCACGAAGTTGGTCAGTAAGAGGTTTCATAAGTAATGCGCATTTCGGTATGAAGCGTCTATAGAAACTTACCAGGCCGTTAAACGTGCGTAATTGCTTGACGTTGGTCGGTTCTGGGTAATCCAGAATGGCCGCCACTTTGGTCCTAAGAGGTCGAATGCCTTGAGCATCGATAGTGTGTCCTAGGAAATCTAACGAATCGGTTCCGAATTGGCATTTCTGAACGTTTACAGTAATGCGATGTTTTTGTAATCGTTCGAAAACAAGATCCAGATGCTTGAGATGTGATTCTCTGTCCGGACTTGCGATTAAGCAGTCATCAACATACGCATGTACGAAGTTGAGACCTCGAAAGACGTCGTCAATGAATCTTCGGAATGTTTGCGCAGCGTTTCTTAGACCGAACGGCATTCGCAAAAATTCATAGAGTCCGAAAGGAGTTATGATAGCTGTTTTCGGTATGTCGTTAATAGCCATAGGGATTTGGTTATACGCTTTAACCAAGTCGATTTTCGAAAAGACAGTTGTACCTTTCAAGGTAGCTGTCAAATCGTGAATGTGAGGCAACGGGTAACGATCGGGAATGGTTTTTGCATTCAATCGCCGATAGTCACCAGTTGGACGCCAATCGTTGCTGTCCTTTTTAGGGACCATGTGCAACGGAGATGCATAAGGGCTGTTTGACGGTCGTATGATTCCTAAGTCTATCATATGATCGAATTCGTTTTTCGCTAACCTCAGCTTTTCCGGAGCTAGTCGTCGTGCTTTAGAGAATACAGGTGGTCCTGTAGTCGTGATGTGATGTGTAACATTGCTGGTTACACACGGTAGTTTCGGTTGAGTTTGTTGTATCCCAGGGTACTTATCGAGTAGTGGTTGATAGAGTGGGTCTATCGAATGCTTAACTGTGACTGGGGATAATCTACAACCAGAAAAGGAAGTTACACAAACGGATAATTTAGTGTTTCCATCTACTAGCCTCCGTTTGCGCGTGTCGATGATTAGATTATGATGTTGTAGAAGATCCATACCAATGATTGGCATAGAAACATCTGCAACAACGAAAATCCAATGAATGGGTTTGCGTAAACCCACGTTAAGGTAGACGTACCTTTTGCCATACGTGGCGATCGGTTTTCCATTTGCCGCCTGTAAGTTTAGAGTTGATTCGTGGAGCCGGTCGTTATGATTTGCTGGGAGAACGCTAACTTCTGCGCCAGTGTCGACGAGGTAGCGAACTCTCGTTGTCACATCTGTGACGTACAACAGACGGCTATGTTCGCCGGCTACGGTTGCCGTTAACGCGTGCCGGCTTGGAAGTTTCCCGAATTGTTTTTCGAGTCAGTCGTTTTCGTGATGGGAAAATTGCAGGGTTTTCTGCAATTTCTGGAAGATTTTCCATACTGGTTATGATACCAGCACCAGTCGGGGTTATCCGTCTCTCGTGGTCTAGAGACAGATCGTTTACGCGAAATGCTTCTACGTGGACTGCGTGAGCGACTACGGTCGTTACGAAGATTAAGATAACGCGTGAGTGTATGACATAACTCGGTTATGTCATTCTGAGTCGTGTGAGGCTTTTCTTTGACGGAAAATACCTCTGAAGTATACGATTTCGTTATTTCTAAAATACGGTCGGCAGATGCAGCTAGCTCGTCTAAGGCGTTGTTCTGAAACGAGACCAGAACCGCTTGCACCTGTTGAGGAAGTTTAGACAAGAAAAGTTGTTTAAATAGACCTTCGTCGAAAGTCCTTAGGCCTATCACTTCTCTCATTCTTTGCAACATGTCAGTCGCAGAACCGTGTTGCAGGTCGATGTTATTGAAGAGTTGATCTAACCTTTGTCGATCGGTTAGGTCTCCTCGTTTAAGAATCGCACGTTTTAGGATTTCGTAAGGTTCAGAAACATCACTAGTAAACATACTAGGTGTTACGTACCTGTTGAATTCGCGCGGTAGTGCCTTGACTACTGCGAGGAATTGTGCACGTGTGTCGATCACGCCGTGCTCGGAGAAGTCAGCTTCTGCGTAGCAGAACCAGGCTTCGATATTGTCGGGCCAGAAAGGCATGAGTTGAAACGAAGGCGGGGACAAAGTCTTAAGCTTGAGTATTTTGGGTGTCTGTTCAGCCATGATGAAATATGAAGTACGATAATGAACGAGTTGAAATATATATATATATCCAAGGAAAAACACGAAAAAAAAAATTACAATGTTTAAAAAAAATTAAGGTAATAATATATAAAAATTCCAAAAAGGAACAGACTCACAGTTGCAATTAGGTGTACCAGATCACGACGGTCTCACCAATGAGGATGATACAGGTATTCAGTGTTTGACAACGCTTCTACCAATAACACCTTCTAATATGCTTTGTTCCCACCGAGAGAAATCAAAAGACAGAGTCGAGGAGATCGGAAGAGTGTATTTGGCGATAACCAATATATCGGGAATCTCTGATCTAATCTGGCTAGTGATTGCGGTTGTTGTTGAGCACAGCGTGACAGCACGTGATCTGGTGCGGATGCATGACCGAGCGCCTTCAGCTAGATGAGTCCACTAAAACATATGGTCAGCATCCAATGTCGAAAACCTATTGAGCTATTTAGTTTGGGGATTTATTTACCGCTACAACTTCGTCTAAGACTATAATACAATACTGCTTGAGTGCATGAAATTTGAACGAACGGATGTAACTAGGGCTAAATAAGGTTCAACAGCTTTAACGTTATAACATGATTGACATACTTTTAATAATGAAAATCTCAGAAAAATGTCAAGTGTGTATGGTATCGCTGATATGACCACGGGATGCGTGAAATTACATTAGATTAGTGGACTATCGTTATTTTTCAAGTATTAAACCTAACACCTGGCAACAAACAACTGAAAACTTAGTTATTATTGATTGAGATCATGGACCAATTGATGTTAGACCATCACAGTTGAAAACCTGGAATCACTGGACGGCCGTTTCGTTCTGTTGTGGGACTCATCAGCAGTGCGCATCCACGGTCCCGCTCTCGGGATTCGAACCCAGGGCCTTCGGTCTCGCGCGCGAACGCTTAACCAACTGGATCACTGAGCTGGCATCCAATGGTGATAGTTTCTAACATCAACCAATCCATGAAATTGCACGACCAACTTCCGTTGTACTGAGGTAGATACCTATCTCTACCCGACAAGGATTAGCTCCACTGGTCACGGCTTCCCACTACAACTCCGAGAATTCCCTGGGCTCGAATCCCGCGAGCGGGACCGTGGATGCGCACTGCTAAGGAGTCTCATAATAGGATGAAACGGCCGTCCAGTGCTTCCAGGTTTTCAATTATGATGGTCTAAAACCAATTGGTTCATGATCTCAATCAAAAACCTAATAATCTCCACAACCCCTATATTAGTCATTTTTTCTCATCACCTACAGCTTAATAGGTAGCTGGGTAGGCTTATGACCTGAAGCCGCTATAACCGAAGAATAACCAAGCGGAGTTTCATATATGTCTTCCGAAACACTTGCATTTGTATGATGATTATAGTAATTTGAATTATTATACATAGCACTTCACATATACGTTTAGATAACTGGGAAGTATTTTGTAGTTCAAAATTAGATAACCATGAGGAACAACTCGAAAAAATATTTTATTCCATCAAAGTTTCCTACATTCTTAGTAAGCATGATATACGTCGTATTACTTTAAATGGATCTGAAAATAAACGTATCCTAAATATTTAAATATATGCGCGTGGCTATACATTTACAGTAATTATTTTCGTCTTTAAAAGTTATTCATTGAGATCAATGAATTTTAGAAGCTTCCATTTTCATAATCTCGCAATGCTAACATTGAATTATTCAATACACATGTCCAACATTGAATTGAAGAGAAGTTTGCCTTCTGTTCAAAGGTGGCAACATTGAAAATGTTTGGAGTTTCTGGGTGTTTGGAGTTAGTTTAAGTTGTGTTTAGACTATGATCTACCTTTTTACTCACAAATGATATTTTACTATTGCTCATGAGCTTATATGGCGGGGTGAAGTATAACTGCAGCCTATTAAACCACAAACTTGGTTTAAAATGATCGAATCTCATGGCTTGTAATGGTGTAGTTAGTTTTCAGCGTCAGCATTATTCCTAAGTACTTAAGTAAATACTTAAACACAACGGAGGAACTCTAGGTGGGATTCACCTTAATATTTTGATCTTCAATAAAGTTTCGTTTCTATGTTGTAAGATTTCTGATCTGGATTATTTATCAACGTTGACGAGGTTACGTATGTTAATATTGTGCTTATGCACGTGATTACTTCATAGCAAAGTTCATAAGAAATGCTGTGCTAGCTGCGTACTGTTTTCAGCGTTAATTATCGTAAGTTAAACCTGCGAGTCTATCCTACAGCTTTTCCCACCTTGAAACAGCTGGAACTCTACTCTTAGTTATGCATATAAGTGACATAAACTGCATACATATATTCAACTAATAATCTTGGTTTTGTAGCATTTTTAGGAATGTAGTGCATATGGTCTAAGTTATCCATGTAATTGAAGGGCAGACTAATCACTTACTGCTTAGTTAGCCAAAAGTTCTGAACATGAGGTCATCTGGTCTCAGTTGCAGTTTGGAAAAGAGAGGAGGCTAGGTGGCCTTGATTATTCCTGGCAATAGTAGTCTTTCAGTTGATTTGATAGATTGAGCTTCAATCACGTGTTGATGTGGTGAATTACATTTGTTTATGATTGGATGGAAAAGTCGATAGTCAACTGACAAGTAATTTGTTCTGGGGTTGTGAACTATTAATATTGTCCTCGTAACATTTGCGCTTCGGAAAATTAAAAAAATGGGAGCATATCTAATGCAAATTTATCATTAAGTAGTTTGGAAACTGTGGTCAAGTCGCTACTGGTTCTTCGATGTGACAATGGAAATAGGTTTAGTTTAGCCAGTCGAGCATCATACGGGAGCTTTGTTATCTCAGGAATCAACTTATTCTAGGTTTTTTGAACCTTTTCCATTGGTTCGCTGTCTCTTTTTAGACAGGGACCAGCCGGTTGTATGTTGTACTTGAGTTTAGGACGCATGGTACTGTATACAAAGTCAAAAAGGTTTTAGCGTCGTCATAGTTAAAGGCCCTACATATTGACCAATTGTTTTTTGTACCGTTCAGTCATCGATCGGAGGTTTTCAAAAACGATCTAGACACAATGTCCAAAGACAAAAGTAACTGATGACCAGAAAAAAAGTGAAAAACTGTTAGACTCAAAAGTTCAGACATGTATGAAAAATCCAACGTACTCTAAAGTACGGATGATAAGTTGCTTTTGAAAAAACGATACTCTTAGCGAATACTTTAAGTGAAATAAATTCAACTAAAGCGAAAACAATAGTTTTGATGTGTAATTTATGAACAAAATAATAATACTAACTCAACCAGGAAAATAACCACTATTTTTCCTAAGCACTTCGTATACTTGCTTTTCGGAGGTTCAATCTGGCTTGTGCTAACACATTCTCGTTATTGGCCCCTAAGCATACACAATAATTCTCGATGTCATCAGCAGTTTCTATATTTGAACTCAACAAAAAACTGGTGACAAAAGAGAATTTTACCGAGCAGATTTTCCTCAGAAACAGTATTGCAGCGATACAGCTGGTTCATATCACTCACATATTCGTTACTTGCTTAGACGCATGACTGCAAATTAAGGGTAGTGAATTTTGTAGTTTGAATTTTAAAACAATAACCAAATAGAAATTTTTTTAAAACTTGATGACATTACTTCACTGATAGGTAAAGTAAATTTTTTCTCTTTTACTGATTTCATAGACTAAACAAACCAGTAAACGTTATTGACACATGAAGCAACGCTTTATCCAACACTCCTTACCGAATGATTTAATTTTGAAGCTGTACAAATCAAGCATGGTTTTGAACCAAGGGGAGATTTATTCCTCCCCAAAATACTTTTAAAGTAATGAAAACTCAATAGTTAGTGTATGAGCACAATTAGAAAGGAAAACTAGTACGTTTCTAAATATACCCCATAGATTTGTCAGAAATTTTTTGTAATGAAACAATACATTGGCTACAAAAGTTTAGTGGTATCTGATATACTGGGTGGCTTCAGGCTAAAGTAAAGCAAGAAGGATGGCTGATATCAAACAATCCTTTAACTACAGAAGAGTCTTACCCATCAACTTTGAATGCTTTACTAGCTTTGAAAATGTTGTTGTCATTTTGTTTACTGTATTTCGGAGAGGCTCCGTTCGAAACAATCTTAACAGCTTCAAACACTTTCTTTTTATAAGTTAACTTACTTTTGGTCAGCCTAGGTCACAAGGAATTACTGTTTTCAATGTATTAAAATGTCTTTTTGTATCTGGAGCTCAACATTGTCTACTCACGTTAAATTTTAGTACCTGGGAAGGGAAATAATTGCGTTTAATTCATTTATTTTGGTAAATCCTACTTTTCCTAATATTAGTAAAAGAAATCACTGGACGATTTCAGTAGGATGTTTTTTCTTCTATGCGTTGTTGAAAAATACCCTCAGCTCTTGTAAATATTACTATCCTATCAATCGGAATGCAAAAGGACATAAAACTGGATGAACTTCATTTATAAAATAAAATGATAACAAATAAGTGAGAATGTAATGTAAAATAGCTCAAGCGCTGTCTGCAATTCAGTTTTTTAAAGTCTGGGTTCTTATTAGTTTTATATTGTTCACGACCTGTTGAGCAGGAAGATCTTTAGTTAACGAGGCAGTATAAATAAACAAACTGATGAATACGAATTTGTAGTACTCTTGAATGGGTTAACTGTTGCACTGATGTGACGTGCAGAGTAAGTGCATAAACACATCGACTTTTCTGTGATCACGTTCCATCAAAACTCTGACCGAAACTTGTTTAAAACGTTTTGAAATTAAAAAGTTAGGAAAATCGTTCAAACCTAGCTTCTCAAAAACTACATTTTTGATGACTAACCATCAAAGTTAAGTCCTATTTTTTATAAATTGAGGATCTTCGATTGTGTGGTCATCAGTAGTGTCAGCAAATAAACTCTTCAATGTTTATCCACCTTTTAAGGTTTGATGAAGTGAGCAAAAGTCAATCCGAAACCACCGAAATCTAGAGGTTATTCGTATTATATAAGTATTTTTGTCCAGTCACGTTCAAATTAAACAGTAATCTGCACAGAGCGTTCTTAGTCCATATAACACTTTAGCTGGAATACTTATATCGTACTCTACTTTTAATTTACTAAACGTATAAGAACTTAAACACTGATGTTATTATCGATTGGGCACCCGGGCAGTATTTCAGCTCACATACAAATCGAATGACAAAGTGTGGCGAATATATATTTGGTGCCTTCTTGTATCACTGTTCACATGTTTAAATAAATAAACGTATCCATTAAGCCTTAAGAATTTTTTCGTAGTAAAATTATTTTTAATACTTGTAAAAACATCACGAATATTTTGGTTTGTGAAAACTCTCTATTTTTAATTTATCAGTGTCTTTTCTTGAGAATTCAGTTTACTTTGATTTTCATCACAACGGATAATTTTAACCTAAAAATAGTGTATTCGCTGCACCAAATTCGCCGAAAAATTTATAATTGAATAATTTAATACAGTAAAATATTCTAAACTTACTGACGTGTTCAAAATTCTTATTTTCAGGCACAAAATTACTTGTGTAATAAAATATCAGTTCATTTGATTCTAATGATTTTGCAAAAAAATATGAAAACTTTCATTGTTCATTACATTTTTTAACCTCATCTGCTACTCAAAAAGCTTTAGGCTTGTGATACTGCTATTGTTATAACCTTCCATCACTATACAGGATGAACTTACACAGTAGTTCATCGAAACATGACGAACTTCGTGAACAAATTTTTGATTACTCCAATTACTCTTCTACAGAAGATGAGAACTCTAACTGGAAGCGTTCAACTAGTGATGCAAGCTTTTTTCTTGACGGACAGCTTCCCATCGACGAGTGGTAATGTGACATTTAAAATTTTTACAACTAATCCGTGGTTTCTATTTTAGCGACACATCTGGAAATGTTTCGGAGCAAGCACGAGTTTATTGGGACTTACCAGAAGCTGTGGAAGCCTCCGTAACACCTAGTTGTGGATTAGACAGATCACAACGCAGCTATGAAGTACGAAAATTAGAAAAGGTGTCAAGTGGATCTGGTAAATTAATATAAAATGTTTTACACTGTTGTAACGTACATCCCGAAACATTGACCTACTAGTGTTTTACGACCTATGTAGGTCCCCGTCTCTTATTAGTTTTCGAATTTTTTTCGTAAAAGAACATGTAATGCTATTTCGTGTGTACATAACAAATTCCAATACATCACAACAGACACGTTTTGACTTGAATAGAACAAACTAACTGAGAAAGTTGTACGTTTGTCTAGGTTTACAAAGTTTAAATAATACTAATCTTAGCTAGACCATCATCAAAAACTGGAAGCGCTGAACTGCCGTTCTTCGTAGTGTGAGACTCCTCGACAGTGTTCATCCGTGTCTTTGCACATAGGAATCAAACCCAGGGTCCCTGATTACGCGTGCGATTGCTTAACGTCTAGATCACTGAGCCCGTGTCCGATGGCGTTAATGCCCATCTTTAATTAATCCATGGTATGACAAAACACTCGTCCATTAAATTTTATCGATAAATGCCTCACTGTTGACGCGGGTTTAACTCCATTGGTCTCGATTTTTCACCAGAATTTCAGGATTTGAATTTTGACGCTAATTACTAGTGAGCACGTGATTTCATAAAATAAAATCCACTGAAATTATCTAACTATCAGAAGGTAATAGAGAAATAAAAAGTAGCTTACGATTAATTACACTTTGAATGATAATGGTTTTTAGAATATTTCGCAACAAGAATAGCAAGCGCCTAGGTCTGGAATAATTTAAACAAGTTCTTATTATCAAGCTAAACGGCAGTTGAATTCGCGATGAGTGGTTTTTACTCTTTCAGAATACAAATTGATATTAAGCTAGCAACCGTAATTTCTACTGCACTTTAAGGAACTTAAAGTGACTGATTCAAAGTTTTGTCCAATAATTAAACAAATATTAACCCACAAACTGGTTCTTATTCATATTTGATAATGCTTTGTGCACCACAAACCAGACTATTATTTTACGAAACAGCAAAACTGTAACATTAAAGCGATATTCTTTTTTTGAAATTTATTTTTTACACATGGTTTCCCATATCGTCTTGAACAGATATTTCAGAGAAGTAGCTCAGTGGTCTAGAGGTTAGGAGTTTGTTCCCGGGAGCGAATGTCCTGGGTTCTAACCCCGCGAACGTGATCGTGGATGCGCACTGCTAAAGAGTCCCATACTTGGACAAAACGGCCGTCCAGTGCTTCCAGGTTTTATTGGTGGTTTAGCATCAATCGATTCATGATCTCAATCAAGACCTTAAAAATCTCCACAACCTCATACTGACCATTTTATTTCGTTTTGTTCTCATCGGTTGCTTGCAACCTGTGATTTTTATCAATCATGATTATGGAATGGGCTTAGATTACTTACATGAAATATTTTAGTCGGGAGTTATTTTAAAGACACAGTACAGCAAGGGTGTAAATGAATTTAATAGACGGAATATTGCAAATACATACCTTACGTAAAAGAACATTCTACAGAGTTAATTGTAACGAGGGTCCAATGGACTAGAAATAAGTGATTACGTAATGAGTGAACGCTGATAAGAGTAGGATGAGTATAGTTCAGTTTATAAAATAAGATCACTAATCAAAAAGACAATAGAAATAGAAAGATGTAATGATGTAATAAAAGAAAAGAAAGAGCATTAAATGTTTTAAACAACTGAATGAGAACAAAATAAAATAGAAGGAATCTATGTTATTCTGCTTACACCGTTGTTCTTGCTCTTTTCAAGGTAAAGGAAAAAAATGTGTATGGAATATCTTATTTGTCAGGATGTTGGCATCAACGTGTTGCTAGCGGTAGTAAAATATCTAAAGAATTTGATTGGTTATTAGTTCTAATCTTATTTACATATTTGTGTTTGGTTTAGCAACATCACGTGTTCAGGTGCATCGTGTGCATTTTCGAGAGCACAACTTACCACCAATAATGAGAAAAGATGGAACGAATCGTTCACAGTCTACACCATTTACACCATTTCAAAATATCGACTGTGCACGTTTATTGAGACAGTTTCAAGAACAGCAGCAACAAAGAGATTATAATCTTGATTCAACTCGATTATTATCTGTTCAGCATCGTTCAAAATCTGATGCAAATCAGTCAGTATCATCAAGTTCTAAATTTGTTTTAAAGACTACTGATCATCAATCTGATCTGACAAATAACGACGCAATTATTATGGGTAATAAAGCTATTAAAAAAGAATATATTAAAGAATCAACAACATCATCATCATTATCAAGTGTTCTTAATAATAGATTTGATACATTTATCAATCATACTGATGATAATGTTGATAATAAAATTATTAATGATATCAATTCTAAAAGTAATCACAATTTTCAAATGATTGAACAAAAAATGATATCAGAAATGGAGAAACTAAGACATATTTCGTTGTCACCCTTCACTCTTTCATCATCTTCATCATTATCGACCATCGTACAGCCATCAGACAATATTGCTAATATTATAACAACAATGACTACAATACCACAAGATAACAATTCCGTACTTTTACGGAACGAAAAAGACATGAATCGTTTAAATGAAGAATATAAGGTAATGCTTGCATTTAATTATAAAACATTTAAATATACAAGATGAAATTAATTAATTTTAGTCTATTCTAAATTAATTTCTGTTGTACACTCTTTGTATAGACGTCATCCTGTAGTTTGCATTCTTTTAACTATTTATCATAATTATTCCCATAATAGCATTATTGGCGGTGTTCATTCAATTCTTTTTTCATACATAATTACTGCATAACAATTGTCTAGAAAAGTAAAATTAAATGTAATATATTTCATATTACCCATATTAGTTACTAAATGCTTAGTATCGATTTTAATATTCCTTTTTAAAAAATGAACCAAATCATATTAAACGAAGCTAAAAATAAATTCTATTGTTCTAATAGTTTCATAAAAGCTAAATAAAATAGATAATTTTTCATGTTGTTTTATATTTGATAAACATATCCACCTTTTCACAGAATACATTACTGTTTATTGTGTTTATTTACATATTTTAATGTTATTAACTTTTCATAATATTTACATAATGTCTATGTAAATAATACATTTAGGTAAACCAATAATCATGGAATTTTATAGATTATTAATCGTTTACAACCAATTATGATTGAAAATTTGAAAAGATAAAATGTATCTGTCTGAATATTAAAATAAAACAGTAATTTTCCAAAAAAAACTTTCGAATTGAAATTCTGCTAAACTATATTTTCATTTTTTAATTCTGTAAAACAATTGATTCCTTCATCAAAGTACAATAATAATGTAAAAGGCTAAGTTGGAGTAAATCCAATGATTTCATCTGGTTAGGAAAGAAAATTATTGATCAATAATTTTTAAGTTTTATGCGACTGATCAAATGTTTCAGTTGGGTTTATGTGATAAAATGTGACAACTTCATGGACTACACAAGATGTAAATCAATGCTATTCATAGAGTTATTAGATTTTTAGCTTGATTCTTGAAGTAAGTTAACAGTTGAATTTCGTATTTTCTTTTTGTAAACCCTCTAATTCATTTTATGATACACATAAATTAACTTATCTGACAAAGGTTATGAAATTTAAGTGAATCAGGTGTTTAAAGATAGATTTAAATTGCTTTTCCATGTTATTTTATTCACTTTTTTATGTGAACATATCATACGTGTAATCACTAAGTATAAAAGCGTAAATACACACCTCTGAGTAGATAATTTATCAATATGATTTTTGGTACAGAAGTTCGATTATTCTAATAGCCATCATTGAAATATATGATCAACCTGTGAATATAGGTGGTATTAAGATATCTCTTTAATAACCCCATATGATAAAACAAGTCTAGAACTGAACACCAACCTTTTTCTGTGATATCACGATGTAATTTAAAAAATAGGTTTAATGTTGATCATATGTAAAGTGATCGAACTATAGAAATTAATGAATGAACTCAATATTTGTGATTTGATAAAATAAAATGTTTTAGTTAAAAAATGTTTATATTATGTCGGCACCTGGCATCATTCACGTCTACATTCCCTGTGAATTTATTCATCAGAAATCGTAGACTGTACAAATTACACCTTAAAGCTCGTCGAATTAAGGTAATTACTTTCTTTTCAAGTTTCATATAATTCAGTACATTGCATCTTTAGAATTTATTTGATCTATGATACGAAAGTAAAAATGATTGAATAATTAATCATTTCTGCTGAAATTCCCTTATCTTAACAAAATGATTATTTCTCCAAATTTGTCGTAAAATAAAAAGTTACCAAATAAAATACAGTTGAAAGGAAATTTAAAATAATAAACTAATGACATTCTTGCGTGTATATATAGTACACCAACCAGTCAGTAATAACTTAGGATCTTACATAAATGTGCATCTGTTCGATTTATCGCAATTCATTTCTGTAAGATATTAGAAATATGACAGTCATGAATGTCAACGTAATAATATCAACTTCAGTGGATAATTAAATAGAGAAAATGTAATTCAAAAGACTGAAATAATATAAAACTCAACGTTTAGGTAAATGTAGAAAACAAATGCGTCTACATTGCCATAAATAGTGTCATCAACCATTAATTAATCAGTCTACTCTCATTCTAGCCAAAATAGCATACAAAGGTTAACGATGTTTGTGCAACAGGTTTTATCATTATCGATTAATGAATGTTTTCGATCTCACTAACTGATTAACCAGCTTTCGCTTGGTACCTAACTCTTACTAATTTCTTCTGCTAAGTGTTTGACATGCTTCGCAAACATTCATTATCATTTACCGGCAATCAGTGTATTTATCCAACACTAGATGTTTGTTCATTTCATCTCTGGAACGGCATGAATTAAACTGCTGAGTTGTATATTCATACTTGCATAAACAGGTATACATTTCTAGACTGTCGTTCGAGGTATATATATCCCAAATACAAACATAATATCACACATTTATAATGTCTTGAAAGATAAGTCTGAAATTGCCAGACAGCTCTATTGATTTCTGATAAGTTGATAGGTAAATGCGTATTGATTTAGTGATGAGATCGATGGATTTCAGAGCACAATCAGAGAAAAATCCACCATCCAAAACGTCTATCGATCATATGTGTGTTCGATATTCATAGCACGTTTTCGACAGTTTGCTTATCGATTGACTCAAAGAATCTATATAGACGGGAATGTATAAATAATTTTTGATGTCTCATAATTGAAATTATCGTTTTCCATCGATTAAAGAAATTCATTTCTTAAGTACTTTCAATTTCTTCTTACCTTATCCAAATTAATGCTCAATATAAATGAGGGTTTGATTTGTTTCCTCTTTTTAGTGGTGTTTTCTCTACTGGACAACTGATAGACTGACTTGGTTTTTGAGTACATGAAAAATTACTTTCATCATCAAAACTTGTACTGCGACAACCTCAGAGTTTGACCACTTCGATTGTTTTGTTATTCTATAGCATTTAGTACATTTACTACAACTCTATTAATTATCACAATAAAAGTTATTTAACGTTAGTTCCAGAACTACAATTCCTTGTTTATTCATTTGTTAACTAAAATGCTCTATTTATCGATCAGTTCGGTCATTCATATGTATTTTCATATAAGGTGTAGGCAAATGTAAGTTCCAGATAAATTATTTTTATGACTAATAACACGCACGAATCATAGGCTAACAATTTTGGTTGAAGCTTCATGTTTTCATTCTCACGAAGAAATATCTTTCTTAACGGACAATCCAATTACATGATCAAGATACCTTAACTTTTTTTGTAATTTTTAGACCATAACCAACTGTGAATATTGGTTAAATAAAGCACGTCAAGCATGTGAAAATCAGGCTGATTTGAATGTTTTAACTGCCGATCTTATAAAACCTGATGGTCTTTTAGAAACAATTGCATCAAGACTTATCAAACCTATTGAGTCTACTTCGGAAGCGCCTACTATTGATTTTACTCAGAATATCCATGAGCAATATTCTCATAACGATGATCCAGAAACAAGTGAACTATTCACAGAATCTACAGATAATGTAGATGGGAAACCTGTGAAATTACTTTCCAGTACAACATCGGACTTAAATCTTCCAAAGGTCAATCAGTATAATGAAGCTAACAGACGAGTTGTTATTGGTTCAGCACGACTACTCAGTCAGGTATTTAAAATGTTTGTTCGATTTGTACGTATTGTCACTTTGTCTGGAACTTTCCAACAAAATGTACATGTATGGTATCATAATTAATATGCACTTTAATTATGTATTTTATCAGTTTTTTTTATGAATAATAATTATTTAATGTCACCAATTTCAGAGACGTTAGTATGGATAGTTGAGCATAAAGCCTTCTGACAATTTATATTATCAAAACAGATTAACTAACATTGTTCTATTTTTAAAATAAATCATTGCATCATGACCAATAAATGAAATCGTTCTTGAAATCTTGCGATGAAATTGGGAAGTTAATTTTTGTGAATGAGTAAATATATGTTACGCCTTTATCTGATAGAAACGAATCCATCCTCAAATCATAATTTCTTCAAATACAAATAAACCATTTGAAAGTTACTTAAGGGCTAAATTAGCAATCACTTCTGATGAATATATACCACTTAAAAATTAAATATCCCGAAATTTATACAGAATATCGACTAGAATGCGCATATTACAGTAATGCTATTTCTAACAATAATAGTGGATATTATGGGTCTGCCATCCATTTCCTATTAATTGCATTCAAGTATATTTGTAAATTTTCAGCTGTATAAAGTTGAAAAATAGTTTCAAGGGTTTTACTAATCGATATTAATGATAAAATACGTTTTATATTAAGAACACTTCTAATAAAATGTTTATTATTTTTTATAGATTACTGTTATATCAATTTAAACATATCCGTTAATCTACGTAAGATGCAAAAAAAACTTAATAAGATACATTAAGTTATAAGGACTTTAGATTTTTCCATCGATTAAAAATTTGAGAATACAACCGTCGTTTATTCTGTGAAATTGTTTTGTTATGTGTCATTTACTATAAACGTAAGTTATATCTCATAATAATTAGTGCACTCATTAACCCAGCTTCGCTTTAAAAGCCTACGAAAAATGTGTGAGTACATACCTTAGTGTAGTGTCGTAATGTAAAAGATTGATGTATGATGAAAATATTTGTATATCTCTTCGAGCAACAATTATTGTTTTTAATTAAAATTGATTACTTCTTGTCGGTGAACTATAGTTGTGTTATCAATTTGCAACAACCTTCATAAATTCCTTTTGAACACTAAAATAATTAGTCAGTTCTGTTTGATAAGCGTCACCTCACATGACAACCATGAGGAGATTTGAACTAAAAAGAAATGTGAATATTCTGTTTTTTGAGTAACAATTAGTATTTAGAAAGTCAGTTGATCGTCAGCGTCGGGTATGGTAAAGGACAATCTAATAAAATAAGATTCTATGTTTCAAAGTTTGTGACAAATACCAGTGAAGCCTGGTTTTGGAAAGTTCTTACATACTAATGATTCACTATATTTCGAGATTGAATGTGATAAACAAGGGATCTATAGAAACCAGATTTTGTAGATTAATGTTCATGTGATTGCCATAGATAGTATTCTTGAATTAGCTCAATAGTTTCTTTTGTAAAGAATTCTGAATAAAGCTTCCCTTGAATTTCTATTTGCACATCAATATAACACAATCATGCTATCAAGTACACTCGACTGACAACTGCTGGATTGCAGGTTCGAACCGCACTCGGTTTAAACAGTCAAATGTTATTGTTAACCTGAAACTAGTACTTTCTCGTATAAAACGTTTTAGCAATCAATATTTTTTTATTTTTAGATTTTATCAGAAAATCATTTGCTCAAAATACTAGATAAGAAATTAGTTTCACAAAAGCATTCTAATGTTTTGCATAAAGATGAGTTTGACAAAGTAGATAAGTTTATTATTCATAAACAAGAATGTTCTCCGTGTAACACTTCACCCACCTATGATAATGATTATGAAAAATCAATTGATACGAATGGTACCACAAAATTATTATCTCCCACAGCTTTATCATCAACGCAAAATCCTCTACTGTACAATGATAAGTTACCATCACATGGGGATATAACTAATTTACTCAAGAATATTATCGGAAAATGTTGGGAATACCGTGAAGATGTAGATATCTATCGTGAATATTTGGGAATCTTAGAACGTGAGTCATTATTTATTTGACTCAAGTATGAATATACATTTTTGCGTACAATATTTACATTTATCAATATATGGGTGATGGTTTATTCTTAACTGAGATCACTTAAAATTGATTTCTTGTAATTATAAAATTTTCGGTAGTAGACATATCTTGTGAATATGAGGTTTTTATCTCAATTTCCTTTAAAAGATAAAAGCGCAATCTAACATTGATTATATCTTTAGGTATTAGATTAGCTAGCCAGGCGATCTACCTTCCAGATACGTTCGAGTGTTTTCTTCATTTTCGAAGACTGAACTGAGTGGTTTATTCGAAAAGGTAGTTATGGTACTCTGAGCATATTCTGAGTAAACAGACTTTTGACTTGAAATGCGGTAACAACAGCTACATTAGCACGTTCTATTTACCTTAAGGTATACTTTACAACCACCCCTAAGTAATATTGTCTCCGAACATTGTGCCGACATTTCATGCTATTATGCATTATCCTTTATGCACTTGAGTCATTCGAGTAAAAATCTAACAAATTCTAGTCCTAGAATCTCTTTTAGCCACTTAGCAATGAAAGGTGGAGAATGCTAGTTCATTGAAGAGTAACTTCATCAATGACAGTTCCTGTTAAAATGTACCCCATTTGTAAAATTCAGAACATGAACGTATACAAGGTATATTTGCCATTCATGTAATTCGCTCAGATCTTCAAAAGCAGGCTGTATATTGATGTTATTATGACTATAAGTATCTTTACTATCCATTGCTTGACCTTTCCCATACATCGGTCACTCAGCACTGATATGTTTGTTGGATATATCCTTTGTATGTATCGGATACAGTAATTTTTATGTCCGCCAGTTACAAACAAGCACAGTTGTGTTTTATAAATCAAGTTCGCATTATTCAAACGTCGTTTATTCATGTTAATAATGTTCCTGTTACATCCGGAAGTTGCGCAAAGATATCATAAGAAATACTTCTGTCATTTTAGGGTTACGATAGAGAAAACGGATAATGAAATATAGGATAAACAAGACTGTAATGAGGAATTTTTCTCTTTATTTAGAAAACTATTTCTTTTTGTCAAGGTATTTCTTTATTGATTTTATCGTCTAATTTAGCTTTATTAAAGCATACAGAAACAATGTGTGATACAGTAGTTGAAAATGGTGGTCTTCGTAGTTTAATTTATGCTTGTCGTTCAAGTGATCTACCATCTTTACGTCATGCAGCTGTTTGTCTAATGAGTTTAGCACTATTCGGTGGGAGTGGAAGTCATAGTGAAATGATGCGTCAACATGCAATTGAATGGTTATTTTGTTTAGCATTTCATCAAGATGAAGTAATTAAATATTTTGCATGTTTAACTAGTGCTGTACTGTCGACTAATCCGTAAGTAATCCAGCTTGATTCTTGTAAATGTTTTTCAGCTTTGGTTCATATAATAATTTCTTGCTTGGTAATATACATTTATTCTATTTAAGTAATAATGAATGGTTTTTACTGTTTTCGTTTCGTGTACCGTATGGTTTGATGAGCATGGTTATGGATCAATATTCTTGATTTGTTTATCGTAGCTCTTAAGTTTCCTAACTTAGATAATCCACATGTTTCATTTTAAAACTATGATTGATTGATCATAGAAGAATTAATTGCGGTAGGTTTGTTGACTTGCTCACTCATCACTTGTTCTAAATTACGTTTAATATGCCAAATTTTTATAAATCGTAGGTGTTTAACAGTGAATAAGTAAACAATGAATCATGAACAAAAACATGGAACTATTTTAAACATGTTTTAAAATATATTTACAGAAATGAATGTTGTTTTTTTCACTAACACACTGCATTATTAAACGCTTTTCGATTAGTTAAATCTAGCTATAGTTTTTGATATAGTCTAAGCTCATTAGTAATAGATTGATTAGAGCATCTGTCAGTTTCACAAATCCTCTACCTTAACTGAGTTTTTAAGCGTTTATAGTGTAATTATTTTCATGTTTTTTTTATTTTGCTTACTAACTAAATTACTGCTATTGGTTCATATAAAGTCACGAAATTGTTTAGAGGTTCTTGCTTTAAAAACTCAACTAAAACGTTGTTAATTAAAAACTACCGTGTCTAAATATGATAAAAATTATTAATAGAGATTGAAAGTAATTGGATTCTACATATTTCTTGAGTGTCTTACTCATTGCACTATGAAAAAATAACAATTTATGAGAATTTTCTCAATACCACTATCTAAGGTTATATTTCAATGTCTATATTACTATGACTAATGAAAAACGTAATTCACACTAACTAATGAAAAATGTTACTCGAGTCAATCTAACATATATTTATTTCTATACCTGGTGACTGTATGAATTGTGAATACTCGCGGAATACAACTTGTGTACAAATATGTAATGTGCTCCATGTGGCCTCAATCACAATGGAACTATTTCTTTCAGATTCTCATGAATAGTCTTCATGTTGACAATTATCTGATAAATTCAATAAACACTTTTTTAAGCTTCTTAAGTCGGAAAGCCACTAGAGGAAGGTGTTGGGGTGACCCATATTATTCCTTCAAAAAAGCCTTAAGGGACCCTAAAGATGCTGGAAACCATTTTATCCAATCAGCATTGAACAGAAGTCTCTCAGAAACATATAGAAAGTGAAGAGTTACGCATCATATTTCTGATTTGATGATTACGTATCCTGCTACTATGTTTAGTTGGGTTCCACAACCTTCCAGGAGCTATAAATATCCTAAATTTTCTGTACATAAACGAACCTTGGAACAAAGCGTTCTTTCCATATTTTGCACCTTTTCTCTCGTGTTCAAGTTGTCGTGTAGATTTCACGTGGGGTTATTAGAATAACTTAAGAAACATGTTCAAGCATTCAGTCGGAAGATTCATCAACCACATTTGTTAAGGCTCATCCAGAAAAATTGTATCTCTTAATTTAAAAAAGTGCTAAAAGCTTGAACATCGTAACGTTAGCCATTGTGCTGATGTTGGTGATGTTTCCACTTGGTAATCGAATTTCCGAGTGAATCTATGTAGAGCTAGGCTGTTTACAAAAACTAGACGTGTTTTTTTTACATTGGATAGTTCTTGATGGAGGTCAAAGCTTGATAATCGATCGGTCTGTAAGAAGTAGAAGTAAGTGAAGGAGAGGAAGAATCTGAAATGGGAGAGGAGTAAAAGGAAGTAACCGAGTAGAGGAACAGATACAAAGAAGGTGAAGAGGTAAGAAGACTATGAGAGAAGTGGAAGACAGAGAAAAGGCGGAAGGAGAAGAGAGAAGAAAAAGAAGAGGTGGAAAGGAAAGGTGATAGGGAAATGACTAATAAGAATGGACACGTTTTAAGTTTAGGTAGCCTTTCGAACCTAATCTCCTGTTCTTATAAAAGCATTAGTTTTTGCTTTACTCCTAAGTACTTAAATCATGTTTAGACTGCTAAGAGCACTTTTTCTGTCCTTTGTCAATTTAACTTCCTTTTCAGGTAATATTTTGATAATCTCTAAGAGAATGCTTATTGTCAGTAGGACATTTGCAGGCTCACTACTTATATGCTGCAATTATTCTCTTCTGTTTTTAAGCGAATTGACAGCTGCAGTAAATGCTTCTTGTACACTCAACCTAGTGATGCCTTTTGTACGTTCACATTCACCCATAGAATTTGCTCGTCAACATTTAGTTGCTGCTTTTCAACACACTTGTAAGAAAAACGCATCCGATACTTCAGAGTCACAGACATCTTTTTCTAACAATCAGTCAGACATTGCACATTATTGCTGTGAAAATCAGTATACAGGGGGGTCGGCCGATTGGTTAAAACGTTTAGTACCAGTTATGTTCAGTAAACAGTTTGAACCACGTGTTTTGGTTGCTTTTCATTTCGCTGTTGAAGCTACACTAAAATCTGATATGAAGTGCAGCCATGTAAGTGTGTTGCTAATTTAATTTTATCTTCCTGTGTATTACAACTTGTAATAATTCAATATCAATTTATTACCAATAAACATTTATCTTTTTCATGGTCATTATTGATTGTAGTCCAGTTCAGTTAGATAAGCATACCAACTATGTATTACTGATAACCTACAGATGATGTACAATTTTATTCTAGTTAATTTATAATTCGTTTCTAGAAAAGTACTTATTCCTCTAACTAGGATACTATGTTAAAAAACTGTCAGAAAATTTATGAAAAGCAAAAATAAAATAACACATTTGCATTACTTGTTGACGTACACATTTCGAAACCATGTAAACAAGTTTTTTGATTGAACCTATAATCAACGAGAGAAAACATTCTAACAACTCCATTTGATCTATTTGGGCAATAAGATGTATTCCTTTGTTTCACGTAATTAAATGAACTTGACAAACGTCTTCATATCTAGCCAAAAGTGTTAAAATGAATTGCTTGCAACTACTTACTTTGCCCAATTTTCTTCAACCCAATGTTTCAAAGTATACTCTATAAATTTATGAAACCTCTAGTGGTTCTTCACATGTAAAATATGCTTTTTGGTCGTTTAACTTCATCAGTTGAGATGGCTGGGACACGTGTTACGTATGCCCAACAACAAACTGCCCCGATGTGCGATGTTTCTATTGTGTAAGTGTTTGTTGGAAGAAAGCTAGGGGTGGCCAAACCAGAACATGGTACACATCCATGAAGTCACTGATAAATGGACTGAGCCATGTTGCTAGGTGTAAACTACCTGGTTGGGATCCGCGAGACAATAGCAACCGATGGTTAGAGACCTTGAATGACATGGCCCAAGATCGTTTGCAATAGCGCAGGTGGATCCACTCTTTGTGTTCTCCTAAATTCTAATCTTCTGAATTCTTGATGTCCTTTTTTCTCTTTCCAAATTTATTTCACTGGATTATACTCCTTGAGTAACATCTCCGAACCCTGATTTTTACGATTACTGCTTATACTTTTACTATTTCTACCACTATTGGATTTGAATCGACAGTTTTATCTCTGTGCTGGTTTGGTATGGTAACTCGAACTGATGTACGTATGTACGAAGTTACTGACCGACTGACTTTTTGTCGTCATATTTTTATTCATTATATAGTATAAATATGAAATACTGTTTTTGCTACTAAGTGATTTATATTTAGTTCACGCTAAATTTTTCCCTGATGTACTCCTGTACCAGCTAACAAATCAATATATATATATATATATATATATATATATATATATATATATATGCTATCTTCACTGGTCGTTCTACAATTGTAGATTATTATGAAATCATCTACTGTGCCATATACTTGTCATTCACTAGGTAGTCAGATATCTTACCTGCTCCTGATTATGCAAGTTAACGAAACCTAAACTAATTTTTTATATACTGACTGTTATCTCATCAGATACTAATAAACCAGGGCTGATTAGACTGAAACGAGTGTAGTGGCCGACGCTCTCGAGTAGACCTTTGCTAAAACTTATTTATCATCCATAAAGAAATTAAGACACTGTAGTGAATATACATAACAAACTTTTGAAACGTTTTTAAGTCAGGTAAGTAACCTAAATATTTGAAATTTTGTTTACTTATTTTCAATTGATTGTATCACTATTATTATTCTTTTTCAAGGCGTTTTACGAATCAGATATCGTAGAAATCTTGCGTAATGTTGTCTGTAGTTCAACTTTTCTTGAGTCGAAATTCGCAGCAATGGCCCTACATATTTTAGGTGAAGACGTCCCTTGTCGATTGTCAGCCCAAGTACCGTTATGGGATTATGCTGAAGTTGAATGCTGGTTGACTCGAGTCAGTTCATATAAGTATATGTTTTGTGTATATATCAGTACTAATAATAGATTATCAGATTCATGTTTTATTAAATTAATTAAATATTAAAGACTGTAAAATGTATATTTGATAGTCAGATCAATCATAAATTCATCTTATTTTCGATCGAAACGGACAATTGTCGGAACCATGTAATAACTTGTTTTGAATTTCTAGTCTTATAATATTTCAGAAAAAAACTGTCTGGGGCTCGGTGTTATTAACAAGTTTGATTGTTTCTCGATACGTCTAAGATATGAACTAAGTAGGTTATAAAAAGTGGATGTTATGAATTATTGAGAAATAATACATTACAGCATATCTACAACATTGCTCTGGATAAAAGCAATTGAGTATTGTCTTCCTATCTTAGTTTCACATCCAACAACAATTGTCATCGAATGATCTGGAATGAAATATGTCATAATATTGTCTCCCTCGCTCAAGTAGTTTTTAATTCTGGCACTCTATAGATGATTATAGATTAACAATTTTGGATTGGTGTAAAGAAGAATGATAAGCCACTTTGCATCAATTTCTACAATGATTAGGTATCTTGTACCAAAAACGTCATCTTGATCATTGATTTTGGATCCAATTATTTATACATATTCAATTTCAATTTATTCGCTGTACTGATCAACAATCATCCGTAACTCTATTCTAAATAAATGAGGATAACCTAATACTTTTGCTGAAACTGTAATACTACACGTTTTTGGAGTTATTTAGACAAAATCAGTCTTTTGGAAAAATTGATTTTTCTTTTATATGATATGGTTATTGGATTTCAAGACGACATTTGTTTTATTTTCAGAAAACCACATTTATGTAAGCCATATAAATAGATAGTATTTATGTCGCAGGATTGAAAGGATTGAAAGAAATACATGTTTAGTAAATGTTATATATATATATATATATATATATATATATATATATATATATATATATATATATATATATATATATATATATATATATATATATATATATATGAACTAATACCGTAAGATACAGTCACTGCCAATGAATATATTTTTAAAATTGAATATTTTCAAAAATTGAATAATGTTACGTTGTTCTTTTTAACATTGACTAAATCACCATTATATCGTTCATAATGCTTTGTTAACTGTACATAAAACAATGAATGGTATCAATAAAACAAAATTTAATTTTTCTTTTTCCTTAGAGAGGATTTGAAGATTTGGCTAGTAAATTTTCAAATCTACGTGTTGATGGTGATTTATTACTTAGATTAGATGAATTCAAATTAGAGAAGGATTTAGGACTTGAAAATGGAATCACGCGATCTAGGTAAATGTCTTATTATTTCATCTCACTGTCTCTTCTTTTTTTTAAAAAAAAACAACAGGTTATTACGTGAATTATGCTCTTTGAAGATTAATGCAGATTATTCAGCTGTTGATCCAACCGGGATTTCTGCTTGGCTACGTGAAGCTACACGTATCACTGCTTTAAATAATACGAATACACCAAGAAATCCAACGACATCAGATTATGTTGTAATTAAAAATGATTTTCAATGGACAACGGCTCCTACTAATGCATCAGAATATACCTCGAAATATTGTTATACACATGATTTATCCTGTTTAAATCAATCATTCGATCTTCTTCAGTATGCATATAATTTTATTTCAGCCGGTGTACATTATCCTTTCTTACCTTATTTATCAGATAAAATGCTTTTAGAAGATTGTCGCATTAAAAATGGAATACATCGTAAACGAATTTTAGAAGCAATACAATGTAAGTAAAACGTAGCATTTACCTGTTTTAAAGTCGGTTCGAAATGCTTACTATATTAGATAACTGTATTTTGGATTAATTTTTAGACTGCTATTTTGTAAGAAAAAAAACACTTTTTGATTGAAAATAAGTCAGATTATCACACTGCAAGGATTCTGGTCAATAGCGACTTAAACACTTATCTTAGAAACGTCACTTAAATTATCTAAATTGAAATAAAACGTAGTTGTACATCATAATTATTTGTCTACCGTATAGTATGTCATTAAACCTCTTTTCTACAAGACAACTGAGTTATTAATTCGACATAGATTTTTTATGACAGTAATACATAGAATTATTACCACGATCAATTTTAATTCTTCAATGAACTCATTTATTACTACTTAGTTTTACACTTTCATAAACGATAATATTTTGTTTTCCTTGTCACCAGAAACTAAAGCCAATATCTAATATTCTTACGTAAACAAACCAAGATTGTATGAAACGCTTAATCATAAATAAATTTCATGAAACTGTATCAAAATACGCGCGCACATTATTTCACACAAAATCCAAGTACATTTTCAATAGCTTCCGCCCAATGGATCTGTTATGTATTTTTCTTCTTCAAATATTCCATATCCAAGTACTGACTAATAAGTTTTCAATATATTTAACTGAGTTTTGTTCTTTTCCAAATCAACATCGTTAGCATACATATACTAGACATATGGTTCACAACAGTTGAAGATAAAAAAATGAAGAAAAAGTTCATTGAACATGCTGTTTATTGATATTGAAACCTTATCGCATTGCCTCATACAAATAACATCTTCCCTCGCTCTAATGGTGAATAAACCACAACACGTTGACTTAACTATTTCTTGTTATTGTCTTACATTTCAAAAAATGTTATAAACATATTGCACAATTTTCATTCATATCATATGATAAATAATATATAAAGGTGGACTTAAAAATGTCTATCCTCTCATTCAGTTGATTGGTGAATTTTTGAAAGAGATGATTATTTAATTGATTTGATGTAGTGTACTGCCTTTTCTACCTAGTCTCATGTGATGGTGAAATCAATTAATTGGTTACAATTTAGCGTATAAAGTTTAAATAAACTTTTTCTTTTCTAAAGTTCAATTTTATGTAATTTATTAACCATTACAGAGCGCAATGAACAAACTGTCAGTTGTTTAGTAACTAACTTATCCACAAGTTGCATTTATAGATAGTACGTTTTTCTTTAGTTGGTCATTTTATCACAGCAAACAAAGTTTCCACACTTGATTACAATTAAAAGCTTGTGGGTATAATGTGTTAATTATATATGGTATTAACTAAAATCTTTTTTTATAAACTGATGAGCATAATATTGTGAATTTGCTGTATGTTATGATTAGTCCATCGTTTTGATTTTTATACACTACGATTTCATCAAGATCATTGTCCTTAATTACTAAGTGACAGCAGAGTTTTGTTATCACTCAACTGCTGGACGAAATCTGAAACTCTAAACCAAAAGATAACAAATTTCCACTATTGATAAATTTTAATCATAATCGCGATAAACATTTCGTGTGGTTGGTGAAATCAATTCATATATTTATAAATCTTTCAGTTAACACGTTATACGGTGGGAAGTCTTGAGGATATATTGTTTTAACGATATGTGTTAATTTTTGTCTTGGCTTGATTGATATGCTTGAATGCTATTACGAGTTCACCTTACTCGGTAACGGAACGAAGGTCAAAGATACAGTGACGCGATAGGCTATTCTAATCCGTTGTCCCGGTCCCGCTAACTAGATCAAGAAGTCTTGATGAGGTGTAGAGAATGTATTCTACAAGCACTCAGAAAATAAGAGGTTACTAAGCACATGAATCAAGCTTATTTATACAATGATAGAAACGCCCTTGGGAGAGCCACAAAATAGCGTACTAAAAAATCCGTCAACTAATGACAGTCAAGGATTTCCGAGTGGGAAATGTAAGCTTTAGGTCAACTAAGTATCTCTTGGCGCAAGAACACAAAATTCAGATTTTCAGAATAAAATTACAAAATCAGGGCCTTTTCCTAAGTGAGTTCTGGGGATCTAGGGTCCTCAACATAGGTGTAAGCACTCAAATTATGACAAGACAAATTTGATTCCAATATCACCGATTACCAAATAATAACAACTAAAGAGATTTTTCCATTGGTCATCTTGCTGTCTTAGGCCATGTCACTGAAATATTAGGCCATACACAACTACTGTGCTTATAAATTTATTTCTATAACTTTTATTATCATTATTGATATAACATTCACATGTTCAATTAATTGTACTTTTCTTGTCTCTCATTTTAGCTTCCTTATCAATACATAATCAGTTACGTCTTACAGATAATGATTCTAAATTAAATGCTTCAAGTCATCCAAACAAGTATATTGATATATTTATTTCTTACCGTCGTTCTACTGGTTCTCAACTGGCGAGTTTATTAAAAGTTCATTTTCATTTACGTGGCTATCGAGTATTTTTAGATATTGATCGTTTAACTGCTGGGAAATTTCATGAATCACTACTTCATTCTATTAGATCATCATATAATTTTGTTCTTGTTTTAACACCAAGAGCATTAGATAGATGTTTAAATGATATACATTGTACAGATTGGATACATAAAGTTAGTTAATTTTCATATATACATGCGTTTATTTCATTATTATATGGTATGTGAATATATATAGCCGTTTCAGAGGAATACTCCACATGAAATAATCTTATCGAAACTAGTTTCTAAACAACACATACATCTACAAATCAAAGAATCATTCTACAGTTTTTTCATAATAATTTGTTGACCTAAAATAAATTCAGATTAATTAAATTCAAAAACATATAGAAGAGTTTGATTTGAAGCAATACGTTTAAATAAATATAAAGTAATAAACAAATAGACAGTCACCAATTAGTAATTTATAAGTCATACATTCTAAATAGTACGCTTTATTTTGTTTTAGTAATTTCCAACATAAAATTAAATGGGTTGACTTATTTTGCTTGTAATCTCTCTCTTTTCAATTCTTCATTAAAGTTGATGTGATTTCCTCTATTTTGTTTTCTACTTCTACTGCATTTTTGGACTAAATCTCAATTGTTTATTGTTTATGTATCTCAACTGTGTTCAATGTCCAAACAATATGATTATTTATAATTCGTAGTTTTATTTAGTTAATAGATACTTACATGTAAATAATTGGTCAGAATAATTCGTCATCTAGTAAAAGCTTTTTGAAATTAAAATTATGTACGCAAACAATTTCATTAGTGTAACTGCTAATCACAATTATAAATGATCATTATTAAGTAAACATTTTATAGCTAGTTTCGCTACTCATTGTTTTTGCAAGTTGCTAGAACAAATCTTAAAGTAGTAGAAGTAGTAAAGGCGTCAGTAATAGTAGTAGTAGTAGTAGTAAAAAAGATTAGGTATAGAAAAAAAAGTTTAAGGAGATTTCAAGACTCAGGTTCTAAACGAAGATAAGAAGTGGATGCAATAATGCAATTGCGAGCGATCATGTGTCGTGCCACTCGAAGTTTTTAACCCTTGATTAGAATAATTATGTCCTCACTTTTGTTTTAAGTTAATTGGATTGAAAAGGGAAATACAAGTAAACGTAATAATTGCTGTGAAACAAAATTCGAGACTGTATATTAGGCACTTGTTTCATCTATAAACTCAGTGGACATTGATGTCTTGACCACAGTGACGTCAGTTGTCGCGTGCCTCTCACAAATAAACTTCTTAAAATCACTTTAGGAATGGGTTGGATCTTAGAAAACGCGATCTGACTTATTCAATGATGATTCACATATATCAGGTGCCTTCAAAATGTGTATATGAAACATTGATAACATTAATAGAATCATAAATTTGTTATTGTTGTATCATTCATCTGTTTACTAAATTAAACATTTTAATTACTGTACATATTTTCTTATTTATCAAGGAAGTTGTATGTGCCTTGGAAAGCGGATGTAATATAATACCAATTACTGATAATTTTACATGGCCACCAGCTGAGTCTTTGCCAGAGGATTTGAGGTCAATAACAACCTACAATGCAGTTAAGTAAGTTCAGTGAAATAAAAATGAACTCAAGGCACAAAATAATAGATAATTGTAAATTTATATATACGTCTACTTATATTGCTTGTCTGAGTGATGTACTGCAAATAATTTTTTGAATTTTTATGTTGGGTATGTTAGATCCCCAGAACTCACTTGGTAAATGCCTTAATTTTATAATTTTATTTTGGAAATTTAAATTTCCTTGTTTTCGCGCCAGAAGTGCACTTTTTACCTTCATGTCGTATTTCCCACTTGAGAGAATCTTTAACACTATTGGTCCGTTGTTTATTTTTAGTATGCTATTTTTGCTACGCTTCCCAAGGACAGTTTTATGCTGCATAAATACGTTTGATTTGTGTCTGTTATTATTCACTCGTGCTTCTGGCTTACGGAATATACTTTCCCGTTCCAAGCTTGGACTTCTTCCTTTAGTAAGCGGAGCTGGAACTCATCAAATAACTAGCTTATTGGTCTACGGTCACAAGTCTTTGTTCCGTCCGCATACTAATCGAACTCGTAATAGCTTCAAACCTAGTAGTTTATTCAACATTTCATCTAATATTTCCATCAACAGTTAGTTGCACGATTTCAATTCTAGATATATACAATATACATCAGTTTACTCATACCGATCAATTCCATTTTCACATGACATTTTTCTAGGTTAGCTGGTTAGACCTGATGCACTTATGACAAGGTATTGTTATAAAACCGTATATGGCAATTAAATACAAAATCAATAATTCTTTTAAGTTTATCACGTCTATATAGCTCACGGAAATAATTTCAGACCAAGTACGTATTACATGAAAACCAGTTTGGTTATGTTAGTATTTTGTCATTCAGACCAATTGTTGATTCTTTGTTATTTTGCATTTGCCTGTATATAAGTCGGTATGTGAAAAAATGTGATATTTGTAGTATAAATGTGCAACTGTAATTGCATATTCGTTAATGATGTAATTTTAACATTCACTACTAGTGACGGTTTGATAGGTAGATTATAAGTTCTCGTTTAGAATAAATGATTGTAGGGACTAGTTTAAATTTCAAGACAAGACATTTTTCCTATAGAAACACTATTTCTGTTGAATAACATGGAATCAAAATAGTCAAACTTGTTTGTAGATACTAAGAATTTGATCCCATTAGTTTCTCTGCTCTATTTGAGCTAATAGTGTTTTGGGCAAAAATGTTTATCTATCCTTTAGATAGGTGATATATACTCAAACTCTTCCGAATTAAGATATGACAATTATATATGATTATTATTATTATTATCTTGATTGTTCACTAACAGTGATGTATAAAAGTGTTCTTCCACTGATATTTACGTCCTATAATCATTTTCACTCACTATATGTCCACAACCGTATTTCATGCATAGTAACCAACCAATTCAAAATATGCAAACAACCTTTTTTTCTTCTCACTACATCGCATCATTTTTCTCTGCTCTACTTTTTTGTGAAATACTTTAATATAACACGGATATCAAATATTGATCAATTTTTTAAAAACTCCAATTTGTTATTCTATTTATCGAACCAGTCTTAAATAAGTTTTGCAGTAAAAAATAATATATATAAAAAAAGCAATAGTTACTACATAAAATAGTGTAGTTTTTCTGCATATATTTACTCTTTGAATACCAATGTTTCATTCTAGTTTAATTTGAAGCTTAATGACGTTTTTGTTAGTCAGATATGAAAAATAAAGAGAAAATTCCTCTATAAGGTCTATTTCATTCAGTAATCAGTTAATAATTTATAAATGAATTTACTTTATTTGTTAAAATTCGATTCCATTCAGCTAATATACTTATACCCGTGGACTATCTATGACACTAACTTCTTTCTATTCACACACATACATAAAAGTATATGATTAGAAATAATATGGTTGTATGTGATTAGTGGAATAAAAAGGGGGAGTTTTTCTATTATTAGTTGTTGGGGACGTTAGATCCCAAAAACTCATATTTTGTGATTTTGTCTTTGTGGAGCTTGTATGCAGATGTATGCTTGGGCACTTCTTACCACCCACGCACATAGTCGATTGACGAACATATCGATTAAATGTTTAAATATTTCAATGGCCGTCGGTTGACGAACTTATCGATTAAATGTTTAAAAACTTCCATGGCAATATCGATTATATATATTTTGTATAAATACGCTTGATTTGTGTGCTTGATGAACATGATATCTACTGGTTGTTTGTAGAATACACTTTCTACATATTACCAAGACTTCTGGATCGAGTTAGCTGAGTCGGGGACAACAGACCAGTATAGCCTATCGAGTCTCTGAATCCTTGATTCTTCGTTCCGTTCCGAGTAAGACGAATCAGTAGTAGCATTCAAGTTTAATGAACATAACATTAGTTGAAAAAGTTGCTTGAAAAAGAACACTTACAACTGTTAATGATCATATCGATCATGAAAAATACAAATTTAGTCATTTAATATGTTCCTGTTTTATTTTAATAATATTTATTCATACACAAAGTTACAATCACAGATTTTTTGTAATGACAAACTTAATAAAGGAAAATGTAGTGAATTTTTATGCATAGAAAATTACATTTATCTTAATGTGTTTATTTATTCAACGGCATTAGCAAAATAGATTCATTATACTTATTCCGAATTTAATACATGGGTTAGTGCTAGCGGGAAACAGGTTGTTGTTTGCTCACAGTTGCAGTAAACAGTCCCCGTTATCTGACCTACGACTAGCATATCCTGATCGGCCACCTAAACAACTGTCCTCTGTGCCTATACGCCCGACTTGAGCATCCAGATCTCCGACTAGTACTACAATATCTGTCGAACGCACTTTCTGTAGAACTGTTAGCTAGTGGTAAAACTTATCCTTGATCGCATCTGGGATGCAAGCTGTCGTAGCATAGGCGGAGATGACGAAAAGAGATCGTTTCTCGCACCGATTTCTTATTACTGTGATGGAACTTACTAATCCAACAGCACATAACCGACTGTTAATTCAGATCCAATTGATAAGGGCTGCCTCAGCTCTAGCACTTAGTGTGACACGAACTCCAGAGAAACCAGACGCACGTAAAACAAGTCTTTTGAGACGACGGATGACGAGTCAATTTGTAGTACTTCACCAGAGTTTTGAATAGGAATTTCGGATAGACAACATACATCGATATTAAGACTTTTCAAAGACATAGCCAGCCCTATCTGTTGTCCAACCTGCATAAGCGTGCGAACGTTGAAGACAGCCAGTTTGAATGGTATACGTGGTTTCAGAAAAACTGCTTCAGTATTCTTATTCGTTAGTAGCATTAAATTTTCGACGACTCAGTGACTTAAGATCGTTTAGATAGAACAGAGTTTCCACCACATGCGATTTGCTATATAAGTTGAAAAAGAAAAATACACAAAGTGAGAATAGAATCTATACAGTTGTCTTAGCTCGTGTAACCATATTAACTTAGATATTTATTTTATAATAATGAAATATCTCAATCCTACAGACAATCACTTAAGGGTTCAATAACTCACTAGTAGTATCACTGATTATTGTTGAATAGAGATGCCTTTTATTTCACCAGGAGTTATCAGTTCTTTCAAAATTAGAAAACATGTATTTCTAATGAGTGCCAGTAAGTATTACAGTTGATTCATTCTGACATCATAACATTGATTATTAATTTTGTAATATTGTGTAATCACTTATTAAGTGCATCTGTCAATTAAAATTTATAGAATTAGATTCTTAAATGAAACTGTTGTTAAATTACTTGAAATATTTTTTTAATTAACATAACTTTTCACAATTTATTTCTTTTATTACTTAATTTGAAGCGTTATGGAATATTTTTATCTGTCATATTAACTGCTAGGTTTTAGAAATCATTTTTATCTTCATAAAGCTTTCTAGTTTAATGTAAATAGTGCAATTATATTATTTAGTAATTCTCTCTTTAACCAAACTATTTTCACAACTACTTAAGAAATATAAGATAATTTCATAAATAATATAACAACATTACATAAACAATTATATGATAAAGCTTATTGACATCAACCATATATTATGCTTTACATATTATTTCATGAATATCCATACGAATGAAAGTACAATTTAATATAGTTTGTACTAATTGTAAAAATGTACACTATTTAACTTCTAACCATTTTGTCATTTATAGAAGTTTAAATATCAATTAGAAATTTATGCATAAACTCTATTTTAACTAATTTCTCATTTTCATGAATTTATCAATTGTGTAGTCTAGTTGTTTAAACACCTGACGCGAAACTGATAGGTTCTCGAATAGGTTCGAATTTCGCTGGGGGGCGGGTTCGTGGATGCGCACTGCTGAGGAGTCCCATACTAGGACGAAACGGCCGTCCAGTGCTTCCAGGTTTTCTATGGTGGTCTAGCTTCAATTGACTCATGATTTCAACCAGTGAAATCATGTTAATTGTTAGTTAATAATAATTATCACAAAATATTATACATTTTATTTTAATAAATTACAATTACATAATGAATGAATTAGTGATTACATTTTATTTATTTATTTATTTCTTAGTTGGATTCATGATTATCAAGAGGCATGTATTGATAAAGTGGAAAAATTCATGATTAAATCAATAACTTCAACTCCTTTACCATGTAATCAAATTAAACCATTTGAAAAATAAATTAATCCTCATATTTTTCATATTCACCTTACTGTGCATATTTTTTAATCGTCATTTCCTTCACTTCCTCTTATATTCTTTATGATTAATGATTTATTTCTCAAATCTCTATGTTACTTTTCTCTTCAGAGAATATATTTACCAGCTTATTTAATAATAATATTAAGTTAAAAAACAGTTCATATATATACTTATAATTTGACTGAATTATACTACTTATATGCATTTAATATTTTATTTTGTTTTTTTTCTTTCCTTTTCTTATGATTATTATCATACAGAATAATTTAATCAACCCATTTTTATTGATCTCATAATTATATTTTAAAAAAGAGATTTGTTTTTACATTTTGTTTTGAGTTTGAAAGTCATTACATTTGATAAATAGATGAATAGATGAAGATTTACGTGATAGGACTAGTTCATTTTTTAATTAAATTCAGTCGTTTATTTTATATACTAATCTAACTCATGTACCAATATTAGCTTTATGTACTTGATTTTGAGTCATACTATCTTCTGGAGAGCTAATAATGCTGTTGAAGGATCTAGAGACTTAAATCTCTGGTCTACTGGTTGGATATCAAGTAACTTAACCATTGCTCCCCATGAAGGTGATAGCAATGTTCCATTTATATAAAAAATAATTCACCTACATGGATTGTAATTATAAGCAAATCGGTAGATCATTCAAGGCTTTATATTAAACCAACATGATGATGTAAACTAGCAATCAAAGTACAGCGTTAATTTTAGATTCACAAACTCGTTTCTCGAATCATTTATGCACAAATATGCGAGTATACTAAAATGTTGTGTTCTCAGAACATAAAACTCTAGTATTTTGAGTTAGTCATTTAACGAGATATACTTTTTACTAAAAAGATGTAAAGCTGTAGCAGTAAGTTTATTACTCAGCCTATGTATCCTTTGAAAGAATATTTTCCCTAAGAATATCGAGGTGTAATTTTTATTAAAGATTTAAATTACAGATGGCAGAATTATCTTCAAGTATCTGCTATCAACATATCCAACGTGGTCCGGTCAGACATGCTAAATGAGATATAAATATAATGAGAAATAACGTTCAAAATTAAGTTTCGAATAAAAGTGACAATTATACGAAGTATTCATTAAATAAATAAAAGAAAATGTGAAAAAAAGGCTATTTAGTACGCACACTGAATGAACATCGTAAATGTCGCGAATAATTTCAACTGTCAAAATGTTAATATTTTATTTAAACCTATGCTATAAGGATCATAACCTGTTGTCTACACTATTCAACCCTATTAATCATAATAGGTTCAGTCATAATTGAGCCAAATATTTTCAAAATTACTCGAAATATATATCTCAATAAGTTATTTTCTATGAGTAAATTCAAGCTAAAACATAGTCTTGTACATCTTACGTCAGAAATATTACAGCGGTGACATATTAACTTATTTCATTTTATGTTCTTCAGAGTCTCTTTACTGGATTCTATCTAATGTGACTCAACAAATATACTTGATAACATAAATATCATTTTTTTATCTAAAATATATTTTTGTTTAGAATGGCTTATTTTAATTTTGTTGCTTCCATAGCAATCTTTTTTCAATGTAAAAATGTAATTAATTGATCGTTTATACAATGATGTACATTCGTTGCATACTTCCAACTAAACTATATCAATAGTTAAAGGTCATTCAACGCACAATATGTTTGGCATATACATATATTTTCCATTTCATAGAGTGCACAGAATAGAAATCTTCCCATGTACATTAATTAGTGAAGAGAAGAAGTTCACATTTCCAAACGAACAAACTAATAATCAAATTAACTGGAATAAGTAATTATGTAAATTCAAACTTTTGTTTATTTACTATCATAAATTTCAGTTTTGATTTTAAAAAATCTATTTGTATGAGTTGTATTATGATTCAAAACTTACCGAAACAATCATAAATATATTATAAGCAGGATTTGTGATTGTATCTTCAAGGTAAACCAATCGACATTAAGAAAGCTGTAACATTTCAACAATCATTGTTTTAATGGTCTTCAGGTATATAAACTGTGAACTGAGGTCTGTGATAGATAGGTATATAGTATATTACAAAGTTGAAATTAATTCTATCAGTAACGAGGTTGAATATACTGTGTTGTTTGTATTAACGGATACAAAATAATAATCTCGGACGAAAAAAAGACAAATACAAGTAAAAGCAGTACATTGAGAACGTACTATTGTGTTAGTTAAACTATATCAAAAGAACTGCCAGTTCACATACTCCAGACAGGTAGTCAACTGAACCCAGCATCTGTGCAAAAAATTTAGAAACCAGTTCATTGTTAGTTATTTGGATTACATTGATAATATGGTATATAAAAGCAAATCCTTTCGAGAATCCTCTCGTATACCTTCGTCTTTACCCAACATTGTTCGATCCCGGCCCCTACATATTCATCCAAGTTTGGCCTGCTTCCTCTATTGAACTATTGTTTAGAAATTATATTATTTTATCAATAGTACACTCTTGCACTTAAAAATGTTATTTATATTACCTTATGATTCAGCAGTCAATCGAATGTCCATATGTTGGCATGAAGTCTTAAACTGACTACCCACTGGGTTAATTATAATGTCAAGATAGTTATTTTTGAAAAATAATAAATTCAATGCATTCTCAAAATTTCGAACAGTATGTCACTGTTTAGAACATGTTATATAATGTCGCCCGACTTACGAGTTTATGGACATGTGCACACACAGAAATAGTTGCAACTTTGATAAGTTTGTAACTAGGACTTACTGACATTTTTATAGCTAGAATTTATCATTTATTCTGACTGTTTTCTAACTTTATATACTCATTTCGTACTATTTCTTAAATGTGTATATATTCCAACAGATATTTACCATACTATTCTGAATTTCCATAGTATCAACGTTTTTGGTTCATCTGTTTCTTTTTCTCATCACTACTATGGAAACTACATTTAGTTAATAATAGTTGTTTATTACAAGCAATCATAAACATCCCTTTTTATTTCTTAACGTGAATTGTCCTATTTATGAAATAAATTCTTTAAACATTAGCGTGTAAACGAAACTAAAAAAATGATTGTTTACTTTCTTATGAAATATTCTTGCATTGCTAATTGAAATTTAGATTTACGTACATCTTTTTAAAAAGTGGATAAAATAGTACTTCCAGTTACATGTACAACGTTTAGAATAAAGTCTGAAACCTAGTAGGTAGGATACTATTTGTATAGTAAGCCTTATTTAATGTAAGAAAATTCATGAAATACTTGAGAATATTGTTTTCATAAAATTTGATTATCTTACTTTACCTACATAACCATAGGAATATTACTGGGATCACGAACCGACTAAAGTTAAAAGACCATTGGAAACTAGGAAGCTCTGAACTTCCGGTTCGTCCTATTATTAAACTTCTCAGTAGTGTGTATACATGATTCCGCCACTGCTGACCAAACTCAGTACCTCCAGACCATGCGTTGAGCTCCAAACATTTAGACCACTAAAACGCCATTTCGTTTTGTATAAGTCTATCTTCAATCAGTTCGAGATATCAGGCGACCGTCTTCGGCGGTTAGAATCCACTAGTTACAGCTCTTCGTTAGTACTCTAGGACGAAAGTGCTTCCCAATTTTCAATAGTTGTCTAACTTAAATTAGTTCGTAATCTGAGTAACGCTCAACAATCTCCACAAAATACCTATATTAACTAGTAAGAATATATTTTGAGACTCCAGATTAATTTATACTCATCAAATGTGAATTTTAAACGCCCGGTTTACTTATCCAATTCAATATAAAACGCACAGTCTGTTAAAGTGCTAACTATTTCAAAAGCCAACGATCGGGGAAGTCCGTACTTGTTTATTCTTTACGCAAGGGAAAGGTGATCGAATCTGAATCCACGTATCAAAACCGTTGTCGGAGCAAACTTGACTGGAAGTGTTTAAATGTTGATGTCAGATAATTACTTTGTAATAAATTCCAACATAATTTCCTACTTAGATTCGTTCTAAAGTGGTGTTTATTTGCTGCAATATTATATCATTTCGTATGAAAAGTTCATTAATGCTACCAATCATATGTTATTTAGTACAATGAATGTCAGTGTTTATTATTATCATTACATGCGTTTACGCTATTAATTTCAGATCGCTTCATGTAAATATATTCATTCACTAAGACTGGACATTATATTGATTGATTTGCCTTTTTAATACTGTACATAGAACTAGCTAAACAGTAAATAAGCTGATATTCTGTCGATTCCTAAATCTCTTCCTCCTCTCAATAAAAAAATGTTCCTTCTTCTATACTTCTCTATAAAGTATGTAAACTAATTTATTGCACTTAAAATCTAGATCAACGGGACCATAAATTTGTAAAGACAGACAAAAATTTAAAAAAATAGTATGACTGATTATTAGCTGTTTTATATAGACATTTTTATATTAGCCATGTATTTTGTTTTCCTATGTTACTTCTCCTCTAAAGCATATTCACATAAAAACTTCAGGTTGATTTAGTTAGTTGTTCAGTAGATTTTATACTAATTATTAATAATAGGTAGTACATCTCATTTTAGACAAAAACAGCAGCAAATTTTAAGCTTCTCATATAGCAACTTTCCTATAATGGTTAATTTTTGTTAAACCCTTTTATTAACTTACTTAAGAGACAACGTTATTCGAACAGTGATAATTTACATATTTCTTTGTACTATTATGATTACTACCGTATCCATATAAACCTGTATTCTTGACCACATGACAAACTCTAGCTAAAATGTTGGTAGCCTAAATATCGCTTGATGAATCATTCTCTTCTCCATGTATAGATGTACTCGAATCCTATTATTATCCTTTGCCTTTCTTATCTCCGCCATATTCGATTTGACTATAAATTTGCCTATGTATTTGCTCGCATACATGTATTCGCCTCTCTGCTTCGAATTCGCTTGATATGCTCGTAGATTTGTTATCCCTTCTATCCGCTAATAAAATGTAGTTGCCGCTTCTTACTGTCTTCTGCTTTCAAACACTGTTAGGATTTATATAATAATAGTTATCAAAGTGATTGGTCAACAAAGCTAAGTCACTACACGGATACCGGCAACTTTTCCAATGCTTATTTAGTGTTGTCCCAACGCTATACCATTATTCCATTCATATGTTTGTTCATTGCCGGGTTTAGAGTGAATTTTTGACATAAGACTTAGTTCAACACCTTATATTTACCATAAATGGGTTTTCCCATCGTACATATCTACTTAGAGAACAGTAGACATGTCCATGCCAGACACTTGTGGAATAAAGACAGACATTCGAAATATCCAATGAAAACTATAAAGTACCTACTGAACATGCGAAACTCTGCTAAT